AACCGCTTAGAGAGGGCTGAAAGCCCTATGAAGCGGTATATAAGTCTAACTGCTATTGCTATTGCTATTCATTATGGAAGATATGCACCTCTCTGGTTGCACACTGATTATACAAGCACATACAGAGATAACACATGTGAATCCATCCTGATGAGAGTCACTTAGACTCACACATATGCAAACATGTAGCGCAGCACATGTGTAGCTAACTTCATTAGTCCCTGAGGAAAATGTGCATATACATTATTACATTACAGAGAATAAAATAAAGCTGCAGGTAAATGTTAGAATTTCAACCATGCTTTTCTTAGCCTGCTTGCCCTAAGGAATTTCATTTTACCAGAAAATTAGAGCCGAGGTGGCGCAGTGGTTAAATGCAGCACTGCAGGCTACTTTAGCTGACTGCAGTTCTGCAGTTCGGCTGTTCAAATCTCACCGGCTCAGGGTTGACTCAGCCTTCCATCCTTCCGAGGTGGGTAAAATGGGGACCTGGATTGTTGTTGGGGGCGATATGCTGACTCTGTAAACCGCTTAAAGAGGGCTGAAAGCCCTATGAAGCGGGATATATAAGTCTAACTGCTATTGCTATTATTGCTAAACGGGAAGGAGGAGGTTAGGTGGCCAAGTTAACTTTGTGAGTTTTCTGTAAGGTATAATTCTATAATTGCAGCATTGCAATCTAGGCTTCTTTTCCCCATATTCCACCAAAGCCCACTCCTGTCTCTGGAGAACCCACACCACAGGGTTGTTGTTGTGCGGGGGAAATGGGAAGTGGAAGGTGTGTCGGATATCTTCACCATTTTGAGTTATTCTTAAAAACAATGAAGCTGGGATTTTAACCACCAGTTCCCTGGTCCTTCCTGCAGACGCCTTCTGCTGCCAGCACCTCCCGGCGGCTCCGGACTCTGCCGGTCCCTCGTCCGCAGATCCACCTTGTGGGTTTCCTATTTCTGATGGAAGGCGGCGCCTAAGGGATAGCCTGAAAGCCGCCTCGGCCCTCCGGAGCCGCAGGGGCCACCAACCGCGCCTCCCTGCTCCCCCTTCCCCATCCTTTCGGGAGCATTATAACCCCAACGTCCGCCGGGGGCCTCGCCAGTCTGCACCGTCTACGACCCGACCGCCACCCGGCCCGGAGCCTCTGGGACGCTCCGCTGGCCTCCAAATCCGCCGCCGCCAGCCGAGCCCGTCCGGGCCTCCTCCCGGAAAGATGGAGTCGGTGGCGCAGGCAGGCAGGCAGGCAGGCCGTGGCGGCTGCCAGGTTTCCCCCCAGGCCGTCCGCGGCGGCTCCCTGCCCGCCCCAATGACAAAGCAGCTCCAACGGCCGCGGCCGCCAAGATGGAGGGGCGCAGCTGCAGCAGGCCGACCGATCGATCGGTGCCTCCGGGGCCGGGCGGCGACGCGCAAGGAAGAGCTGGCGCCGTCCGGCTGTTGGCTGCCCGGCCCCTCCCTGCGCCCGGCCTCGCCCCCGGAACGCCCGCGCCCCGTCGAAGGAAGGTCCGGGCGTCGGGCAGGAGGACTTGCGCCTGCCCCAGTCAGCCCTGCGGCTGGCACGGAGGTCGAGCTCTCCGCGGGAGGAGAAAGGGCGAGCCCCGCCCGCGATCGCGCCGCGCTCCGGGCGTGGGGCTGGGCAAGTCATCGCCGCCGGTGCCGCCCCCCTCCCGTCGTCCCGGCTCTCACCTCGCCCGTTGGCTCGGATGAACTGGACGGCGGCGTCCGGGCCTCCCGCTTCGTCGACGGCGGCGCTGCCGTTGTCGCGGGGCACGTAGATGTGGTAGCCGACGACCAGGCTGGCGCGGCGCAGCTCCTCGTAGACGCCCTCGATGGTGAAGTAGAAGGGCCGGTCGTCGGTCTTGCGGTCCACGTAGAGCAGAGCGGCGCGCGAACTCCAGTTGAAGTGCCCGTGCAGGTGGGCCACGAAGGCGCCCAGCTTGGGGGCGGTGGGGCCGACGCGCACCATGGTGCTAAAGTGCTCCTGATTGCGGCTGAAGTCGGTGGCCACGGCGCCGGCGGTGAGCAGCGGCAGGTTCCAGTGCGAGGCGAAGCGGCCCACGGCGGCCGCCGGGTACACGCAGCCGGGCCCCAGCAGCACGTCCGGGTTGTGGTAAAGCTTCAGGTCCACGGCCTTCAGCGGCGCCACCGACTCGGAGCAGGCGCCGTTCAACTCGGACGTAGCGATCACCTTCTGCACCACCAGCCCGGCGGTCCGCAGCGCCGGCTCCAGCGCCTCCAGGGCCAGGTCCACGGCGGGGCCCACGCGCGGCAGCGCCCACGGGTAGCTGGGGTTATCCTTGGGCAGCACCATGGCCACTGTCAGGACGGTCGCGGCCGGCGCGCTACCGTTGCCCACGGGCGCCGGGGAAGCGACGGCCGCGAGAGGCGCCCAGGCGGCCAGCAGCAGCAGCAACGGGGGCAGCGAGGCCATGGGGGCGGCGGAAGGAATGCGCTCGGCCGCCCGCTCGGCTCGACTCGGCTCCGCCGCCGCCGGATCCCTCTGCGGGGCGGTCTGTCCCGCGTCCTCCCCCACCCCCCGAGGGGCCGCCCCAGCCGCCCACCCTCCCTCCCTCCGGATGCGTTGGCCACGCCAGGAGGAGAGGTGGGCGGGCAGCGCCCCCTGGCGCCTCCCTTGGCTTCCTCGGGTACCAGCCAGCAGCCCGGGCGAGATGGGCCGTCCGCGGCGCCGTTGCTTTTTCGGCCGCCCACGGTTCCGCAGAGGCGCCGCGCTTCAGGGAAGATCCTGGGGCTTCGGCCGCACTCGTGGCGGGGCCGGCAGTGGATCCTTTCGCCCCCTCTCTGCCCCGAGACGCTCCCGGCCCAGATTCGGCCCCACTGCAGGGCGGTCGCCGCCCCCGCTGGCCGGGGAAGGAGGGCAGCGAGCGCCCCACCGCGAGCGGGATCAGAGGTCGGCCGCTGGAGGCCTCGGCGGAGCGGCGGAAAGCGTGCAAGCAGCTCCCGTCCCGCCAGGGGAGGAAGGCGGACCCTCCCGGAAGGTGCCAAGAGGGGCCGTGGAGGGAAACGGCGCTCCCCGTCAGAGTCCGGAGGCTGCGTGCCATCGGGAGTCGGTCTCGGAGGGAGCCGGGCCACTCCTTCTGCCAGGGACCCGTCCTACTCCCAGCCCTGGGAAAGTTGGGTGCAAAGCCCTGGAGGGCTCCGGTGGAGGAAAGGTGGCCTAAAGCAGTGTTTCTCAACCTTGGCAACTTGAAGATGTCCGGACTTCAACTCCCAGAATTCCCCAGCCAGCATTCGCTTAGAACTGGCATTCGCTGGCTGGGGAATTCTGGGACTTGAAGTCTGGACATCTTCAAGTTGCCAAAGTTGAGAAACACTGGCCTAAAGGACCTTGGTGGAGATTTTCTGGAGCAGGGGAGCAGATGCCATGGTGGAGTTTCCATCCGAGAAGAGAGACACAACATCTAGACACGCCCACCACCCCAGCTTCCTATGAGATTAGCCTTCCCAACTCCCCTAGCCTAAGAGCCCAGCTCAGCTGGAGTTAGCTGGCACCTGGCTGGAGGCTCTGCCCCCTATCTTACCCAGCAGGCCATCCCAAGGAGGCCAATTGGGCAGCTCTGGGCACCTGGAGAAACAGCAGATCTGGGACAGTCCCAGAATGTGGACACCCCCCAGCCAGTCTGTTGTTGGGACGTAAGCCCTCTGTAGGAAGGTACCTCAGACCCAGAACTTCGGCTCACTGTGCCAGGGAAAAGCTGAGTAGGCAAATGAGCGCATTCTACACTCNCCCCCTCCCTAATGATTGTAAGCCGCCCTGAGTCCCCTCAGGGAAAAGGGCGGCCTATAAATCCTAATAAAATACCAAAATACCAAATGTATTCATAAAAGTCGCAGCATCCCAGAGCCGTTGATTGCTCTTTGCAACTTTCAGCAAGCAAAGTCATTGAGGAAAGCAGGATTCACTAAACGACCACTCAATTCACTTAACAACTGCTGTGATTAACAACTGGAGCAAAATAGGTTTAAAATTGGGCATGACTCACTTAACAACTGCCTTGCTTAACAACAGAAATTCTAGTGTCAATTGCCCTTGTAAGACGAGGTAACATTGGTAACAGCCTCAGAAAAAGTGCTTTATGAACTGTATTTGCACTTATCCCCATCATGCTACTCCCATTGTCACATGAGGTTTAGGTCCTTGGCAATTGGCTCATATTTACAGCCAGTTGCAAGGTCTTGCAATCACATGATCACGATGGTTGTAAGTTGAGGACTATCTTGATGTTAGGCTATTAATTGCATTTCTTGTGGTTCCTCAAATAATATTAGCTGCATGGAAATGTTAGGCTCAACTGTCATTGAATACTGCATTAAAAAACATCCCCTTCTCTCAGGAAGACCATGGCAAGTTAACCAACTAGGATCAAAGTCTTGTTTGCTACCGTATTATCTGTCTGTCAATTTAGACAATACATGGTTTTGTGCATTGTACTAAGACTCATGATGAGTTAATACGCTGTGTGAACCCAGCCATAAAATGCTTTTTGCCTCAAACCAAGGTCTTTAAACAGGAAAAGGGAAGGAAAAGGAATGTATCTGCTTAAGATTTCATCAGATTCATTGATGAATTATGATGTGCATTACTTTAGACAATGTCTGTCCTTACTTCAGCTGGAAAGATTTCTGTAATGTTTCCCAAATCAACAAATAATTTATTCAAGTTTTATTTATCCATGGCGGAGGGATCAAAAAATCAAGTCCACTATTTTTGTTTTAAAAACACACAGTGAATAAAAAGGATACAGAGGGAAAAGGAATCAAGAACTCTTGCATGCTAATTTGCAATGTTATCTTAGGCGTTCTTTTTTTTAATGAGGTTATTCAATTTGTTTAATTTAAATTTGCTGCAGCTCACCCTTTTATTTCCAGTAAAAATAATGATAATAAATTACCACTTGTCCAATATCCTGATGATACTCCTTAGTCTGTCCAGGGGGGAAATTCTTAGCCTGCCACTCAGGGCATCTCCCTTCAATCCAGCACCATTGAAAAGTAGAAAGGAAGGTATTTGAGATTTTTCCACCCAGACCCAAGAAATGCTGACTTCAACAAAGTTTTGTGTCATTCCTGAAACACAAGAAGTTGCAGGGCAGTATTGCATATAGGGAAAACTTCAATGGGAATTTCTTTTACTGTGCCAATTAGTAAATCTCTAGATATGAAAATGAGAATCATTGAAAAAGAGGCAATATGCTGGAAAAATAGGTAGAATTTTATTTTTTATATCTATATAACAGGACTTGTATACAGTATTTGATTCTAATGTAAAGTGACCAGATTTTAACATTGGTAAAGGGGACACCATTGACCGGGGGTGGGGAGTGTGAGGTTGGGGATGGTGGGAATTGTAATCCCAGGAACAAAACACAAGGCCGGGGAAAGAAATACAAGGAATATAGGGTTGGATGTCAAAAGCATACAGATATATGGGGAGGGGGAGTGGAAAGTAATACAAAGGGGGGGGGCTGCTGCTGTGGATAATGGGGGGGTATAGTCCTGGTGCATGTGCCCACAGAACCAGGCTTGGCAGGGAGCGATGGGTGGTGTAGTCTGGCACCTCGGCAAGGCTCGAGCGGAGGGTCCCCCTTCGCCTCCCCTCCTTGACCTGTCAGATTGCCCCCCCAAAAGCCATCCTTGCCTCCACCTCTTCCGCCCCCCTTTTCCTTCTCGCCCCGAGCACCCAGAAGTGCCCCTCCCAGGAAGGAGCCTCGCTGGGCCCAGCCTGGCCCCACCTCATCTTGCAATTCCTTGGCGGCGGCGGTGGCAGCGGTGGTCACAAGACCTCCTCCTCCTCAGCCGCCGCCATCTTGGCACCCCCCTCCCTCCAAGCCCCCTCCCTCCGGCTTCCCTCATGCCCCGCCTCGCTCTTCCCTCACTCTCGTGCAGCGGGTCCTGGCAGCACCGATGCCCTTTCGCCCACTCACCCGTCCGCCCATCCGGGGGGCTCTCGCCCTTTGTAAACTCTCTGAAGAGGAAACTGTGAGAATGAATTCCATTTGGAAGCGCGGGAACCCGATTCGACGTAGGAGAATTCACTACACTCCTTCCAGGACCATACGGCAGCAATTAAGCAAACGGTGGGGACGCTTCGTGGGGGCGGGGGTGGGTGGAAAAAGAGCCAGAGAGGCCTGCCGGCCAATAGGGATACAAAAGGGGAGTGGCATGGCCCCAAGCAGCCAGCCAATGGGAGGGAGCAGCTCAGGCGGCCTTTAATGAAAACTCTCAGCTAGCATAGTGAGAAGTCACAGGTGGATTTCTCAAAATCTTTGGAGTGAAACTGAGATACTACTTGTCGTGCATTCTTTCCAAAAATCTGGACTTTTTTAAAATGCTGCGGGACGCAGGACAAATTATTAAAAATTGGGACTGTCCCGCCAAAAGCAAGACGTCTGGTCACCTTGTTCTAATGCCCGGCGAAGGATATAATATTCTCAGATGCATTAGCACATTGTACTATACAATAATGCTTAAGTTTTTGGACTTGAGCAGCATATAAACTGATGCTATGAATTAATTAAGATTGTGATTCATTTGGCTTTAGCATAATATTTTAGTGAGCTTATCCACTTGTGCTGTATTCATGGATGCTCAGTTCGTCAATTCATAACAGAACTGTACTGGAATGTACTGAACTACTTCTGATTTGGAGAATTTGTTTTTGAGCATAGTCAAACTGCTCCTGGAACACCATGGTTTAGGAAAGAATCTGGCATAATCCAAAATTCCCTGGAATGTTCCCAAATCCATGAGTTTTGTTCAATTAAACTAATTAATTTAATTAAGTAACAAAGAAATTCAGAAAAATCTGAGATTAAAAAATTATATTTATATGGAGAACAAATTATTTCTTTGTATATGTAGATGATATTGTGACTGATTTAACTTATTTCCTGCATAAATGAATATTGAGTTATGAATACAATATTTATGTTTTCCTAGGCACTTTGTTTTAGTGGTAGTACTTTTCTTACTAGACTTTTAATTCATATGATACAGCTTATATCAGCTTTTTGTG